GTCCCCGCAGGATCGGGAGGAGTGGGGGCGGCGCCCCTCCAGCGGCCGCAGTCTCCCCTTCTGGGACGCGCAGCTCTCTGCCCTCCCCCCACCCCCCCGGCTTGCTCCCTTCCTGCCTCTCTCCACCTCCCCTGCCCGCGCTCCGGCCACCGCCGCGTTCTCCCTCCACATTGTCCGCCGTTTATTGCCTCTCCGTCCCCTCCCCCGCCTGGCCTTCGGCCTGGGTATTTCCTCACTTTTTATAACTTACTTTGATCCGGCCTCTCTTTGTCCTCGCTTCCTTCGCAAATTTTATTGTCCCCGTAGCCGGGTCTTTGATTAGACAGGACGGCCTCCCTGCCCGCCGAAGTTTCCAAACTGTACTCGGGCGTGCCCTGCTTGAGCAGCTCCCCAGGCGCGCCCAGCAGCGGCTCCGCCTTCACCGCCGCCTGGCCCTGCCCCGGGGCAGCTTCGCCGCGCTGCGCCGGCTCCAGCCAGGTGCGGAGGTACCTGCTCTCGGCCGGCGGGACGCCCTGGGGCTGGAGGTAGGGGTGGTAGACGGACGGCAGGCTTCCGGACGCGTGCGGGCTCAGCGGCGCCCAGGAGGCGCCGAACACCGGCGCTTTGGGCTGGAAGCTGCACGAGGGGAACTCCAGGTGCTCGGCGTGGCCCGGCTGCCGGGGGCTCGCGTACTGGCCGGAAGGAAACTTGGCCGGAGGCGCGTCCTCACTGTCGTGACTTATGATCGAGTCGACATAATAGCTGCTAAGCGTCCCAGAAATGGACATTCTCAGACATTATCCGGGCGCTCGCAGGGGGAAGGGAAGCGCTCGCGCGGCGGCGCCCAAGCAGGGAGAGGTGGCACCCGGACCGGTGTGAGGGCTTTCGGACGCGACCCCCCCCAGCCCCCCACCCTCCCACCCCCACCCCTGCTCAACTTCTCAGCCAACAAAGTACAGTGGAGCAGCCCGGCTCAGCGCTCCTTGCAAAATGATTGGTCAAAGTTTTTCCGACTGCCTGATAAAGCGTCAGCTCCGACATAAATCAATCGGGCGAGGGGGCTGCGCCCTGGCTGTCATCCGTCCGCACCGCATTCCATATCGAGGATGGATTGTTTTATGCTGATGCAATGTGCTATCACGTCAGGGCTCCGGCGGCCACGTAACCTCAGCCCGAGCTGCTGGCCGCCCCCTCCCCCTCCCCGCCTTTGCAGGAAGGGGGGTAGTTCTCGACGTGGGGCGGCGGGGGCGGAGGAGAGGCGGAGGGAAGCGGCGCGCCGCCTCGGGAGGGACAAGGACGCAAGCTGTGGAGCCCTCTCCCCAGGCGGGCTGGGGAGGGAGGGAGGGACACGAGGGCAGAGGGAGGGAGAGAGTCCCAGCCCAGGGAGCTGCCAGAGAGGCCCGACGGGATAATTAAAGAGGAGGTGGCCCTGTCCCCCCCGCCACCTACACACACCTCCACCTCCACCCCGCAGGCCCTCATTTCCTCTCCTCTGTCCCCTTGACAGAAGATGTTTATTAAACGACAACAGCAGCAGCAACCCACAGGAGATGGAGTAAAAGGGATGGGGGAGAAGTTGGGGATTTTATAGGACGTTTTCTGCTTTGGAGGGGGCTCTCTGTGCACTATTTGGGGAGATTTACGTGACTGGGAGCTTCCCCGGGTGCCTCAGTAGCTGAGGGACAGGGAGCCAGGGGAGTAAAATGAGATAAGTGTCCAAGAATCCACTGTCTATCCTGAAATTAGAACCTACCTGAGGTTAAAGGGATTCATCAGGCCCTGAAAACTTGAGCCTACAAAAGAGTTTAATACAACTAACCAAGGAGCCAGGGGAGTAAAACGAGATAAGTGTCCAAGAATCCACTGTCTATCCTGAAATTAGAACCTACCTGAGATTAAAGGGATTCATCAGGCCCTGAAAACTTGAGCCTACAAAAGAGTTTAATACAACTAACCAAAGCTCCTTTAAATTTCTTGGGCCTTTCCCTGGCCCTGGCCAGAGGGATGGATTGGGGCGAGCACAGCCATTTCTCCTTTCTTCCACTGAATAACGTTCCAGGCCACTAAAATTGTCCACATGATGGAGCCGAACGTGAGAAAGGGTTAAGGGAACTTCCTTGAGGTGTCAGCAGAGCAGAGGCTTGGGAAGGGGTCCCAAGTTATCCCCCCTTCCACCCAGAGAGGAAGGAGCCAGGCCGAGTTCTCGACCCTCGTGTCCCGCTCCTCTCTCCGGGGATTGCTGCTCTGAGCGACTTCCCCACACGGGGACTGGGCACCAGCGTGGACAGCGAGCCTGCGGAGTCGGTCTCGCCCACCCGCTGCCTGGCCTCCCACGGACCCTCGCTGGAGCTTGCAGATAGCCCGTTTTATTGGTATCTGCTGCGCGGCCCTGCGCCGGGACTCCCCCGGGGCCACCGGCTGGCTTCCTGGCTCCTCTCCCAGCCTTGGATCCTGCAGCTTCTGCCCTGGGTGCAGTCGACTCTCGCGATGTGGGGCGCTGGGGGAGGCGCGGCCCCAGGACAGACGCGGTTCCCCTTAGGCTGGGTTTAGGGACAGACTGGGGCGGATTCCTCGGCAATTCTCTGACTCTGGGCCATGTTAAGGCAGGCTGCCCCCAGAGCCCGGCCTCGCCCCCAGCCCAGTCCTTTCAACAAAAGCGGAGCCATTCTGGCTGGGGGTTTTCTCTCTTTGGCCAGCACCCCTCTGCCCTGCGGAAGGCTGCGGATCACCTCCGCACACGCAGACACACTCCCGCCCGCTTTTCTTTCCAAATGAAGCCATCTCGTGTCATTACGTGTGAAATACGAGGGCGAAGCGCCATATTTCTTCACATTATGGCGATTTCAAAATGATTTTTTAAAGATCAATGCCGGCGCCCAGCCGGCCCCCTCCTTCTCCACCCCCGCTCTCCCAGGGCGACAGCCCGGCAGATCCGGAACCAAACAGCGTGAAGATCTGCTTTTTCCATAGGACCCAAGTGGGGAAACAAAAATCCGATGCAAATTCTTCTAAGTAGCGGTTGGACGCTTGGGAAAGTCGAGGGAGCTCCCCGGACTCGCCAGCGAGAAAGCTGGGCGCTGAGAGAATGAATCACAGTTAAGGCGAAGCACCTGTTCTCGATTTGCCAGACGTATGGAGTCTGCTGTCAGCATTACCTGTAATAAATATACTCTTCAGGAAAAAAAAAAATCCCCTCCCCGCCATAAATAATGGCATGATGAAGCATGGCTGGCTGAGTATATGATTTTCTGTAGTATATAAATTAGGGCCCAAAAGGGCATGTGGACTATGGGCTGGGGCTTTTTTATTTATGGAAAAGTTGCAGCGCGTGGCTGTTCTTAAGAACTAAGCTGTGCAGGCACTGGGCTCTGACTGCTGCCCTCCTGGTTCCCTGACTTTGCAGCTGCTTTTATGCAACAGAACAGGAGTCAAGAAGGCCACTTAGTCTGGAGAAGAAGTTAGAGGAAGAAGAACATTTGGGCATGTGGCTTGTGCCCTACACAGGTGAAAAGTCCCAGTTGACAGGGTTCAGGTTTGTGGTTACTGTCTGCCTGGGGAGTTGTTCCTAACCCCTGGTGGCTTCTGGGTGCTGGGTGAGGAGGGGACCCAGGCCTCTTTTCTGAAACTGGAGCTTAGTGTTTGCTCACAAAGAAGCTGGAGTGTGGGAGCAGTTTCAAAATGACAGGTTTCAGAGATCTCAGTCTTCTTTGGAGAGGTGACTCCAGAGGGAAGAGAATGGACTAGCCCCCAAGCCTTGAGGTCTGCACCCTGGCTCATTGCTCTCCAGGTGGGGGTATGGATGCACCAAGCAATGAGTCCCACAGTCCGGCTTTCTAGAAAGCATTGCTGCCCCAAATAGGAATTAAACTCCAGCTCAGGCAAATGATTAAAGGGCCAGCTGAAAGGGTGCCCCTGGCTTGGGTGCTCTGAGAGCCTGCGGATCCACCAAACCCTTGTTTTCTCCTCAGACAGTGGCACCCAACATGTTGGAGGAGAGCAAACGGGATTGCGGCCCCTGGAATCCAGCTTCTAAAGACACTTAACAGAAGGATCGCTTCAGTGGGGGTCACTTTGTCCTGAGAGAGCAAAACTGCTCTGCACCCCACCCCCAATCCTAAAGAGAATGAAGGAACCAAAAAGAAGGAACCTGCCTTCCCTTGCAGCCTTTTGCCGTTCCCTGCACTGGCGCCTTGTCTGAACACAGCTGGGGCAAGAAACTGGTAGCTTGGGGAAGAGCAGGCAGGGAAAAGCGGCAGCCGCTGGCCACGCTGGGGCCCAGAACAGCCAAGATGAGGCAGATGTTTGAAGAGCAGAGGCCGACGTTGGCCGGAACCAGCCGGTGAGTGCCTATGCTTTGAGAGTGACATTTGGAAGGGTCCTTGTCAATGAGAAGAGAGAGAAAAATCTAAGAAAGGGAAGGAAATGGAAGAGAGAAGAAAAAGAATAACAATAAATGAGAAAAGAGAAAAAGAATTTGTTTTTAATTAATAAGCTAAACTGAAATTAAGCATGCTGTATTTGAATAGATGTGCGTACCTTGTATATAGTTTTTACATCAATATTTCTGTACGGGGAACCCAGTGTGCAAATGCACAGTGTTCTATGCTGTGTATTGAATATATATAAAAATGTCTGCCCATCTATAATACTGGATGTGCTTGGGCATTTGTATATAAAATCTGAACATTGGTTATATACGTGGATGCCTGTATAACCCCTCTGAGTGATGTGGGTTTACAATTGTGCTCACATAAGAAGACCCATGACCCAAAATTTGTGTACACTTTTATAACCATCACACACTTATGGAGAAGGTGAAAACTTTGGTATTTGAGTACTTGAATTGTGGCTATAAAATGTTATTAATTGATTCAGAAGCCTCACTGGAAAATCTCTCCCTTGGCTTGATATTCAAGCAAAATATATACCGTATCCCCAAGCAAATGCATGTGACTTCAAGTTTAATTCTGTCACAACTTCCTTTCAAAACATTTCTCTGGAAGGTGAAGGAAATGCCTCACCTTCAGACAGATTATGAAATCTCGTGACTTTTTTGTCTGACCATGGAATCCTTTACTGTGTTATCCTATCCAAAACTGCCTGGGTGGTAAACAATGTGTGAGCATATTTCGCAGTAGTGATGGGCACGGGTATGAAGACGGTGTTATTTGTGCATACATGTGTCCCACACAAGTGCAAAGCAGGGGTGGACAAAGATGAGCTGAGTGTGAAAGTCCCCAGGAAACTATGGAGGTCATGCAGAAGCACTGCTGTTTACAACAAAATAAGAAAAGCCCCCAAATCTATGTCTCCAAGCACCGGGGATATTTCTTCTGACCCATGATCAGAGTCCAGACCCACTCTGGAAAAGAGCGAGGTGTGAGGGCACTTGTTCTAGCAGAGTAGGAAATCGAGGTCTCGGAACCCTCACTCTTTATACAAAACGACCTCCAAAACAGATATCGCATCGAATCTGTACACTCAGGTTCGAACCACAGTGCTTCCGCACTCCCCATGTGGGGTTCTTATTTGTAAAGTAACGAAATCTTCTGCCAAACCTCCCTCCCAGGATATCAGAGATGAAAGAAGGACGGAAAGGTCAGTGGCCCAAGCCAAACTCTGGGAATCTTCTTACCAACTCTCAGCCATCAAGGATATCCAAGGCAGTGGGGGTGGCTGACTCCTAAGGAAGGGGCATCCAGGAGGCCAAACGGGGTGGGCGGCAGGCGGGGCAGAAAGGAGGCGAGCAGGTAGAAGGTTATTACAGAATTGCTTCCATAAAACCTGTGGCTGTTGTAAAACTCTCTGCTTTCCAAAGACTTTATTTCCTCCTTTCTCTCTAACATTCCCCTTTTTTTCTTTTTACAGCACTTTTCCTGGAAGGGGGTGGCCAAGGGACGCCAGGGATGCAAGACAGCCTGGCTCCAATGACTGAGCAGGTTTGTGAGAGGCTCAGGGAGAAGCAAGGTAAGGCACAGGGACACTCCAGACCATCT